GGGGCAGCATATGCCAACTTGTCGCAGGCACAGCATACACAGTGCAAAAGCATTCTAGACCACCATGTCTCGAGCTTAGTTACATTCTAAACCACTTGCAAGATTATTTGTTCCAGTTTGACTTATTTCCACCGGCGGAATACGGCACACTGACAAAGTAAAGAAAGCTGAAAAGTTGTCCCAATCTGATGAACTAAATGTCGAATGACTACTCTGCCCCTAAGTACGTAGCACCATGCAATATTTATACACTTGAGTACAATAGAGCAAACCTGATTCATGTTGTTGTAGTGTTCCAAAGCCACGCGTGCACACGTCGGAGTTTGCCATGTTAGATCATGTTTAATTTCTATCCTGAAAGAGCAGAAGTGTCAACATCATACACATACCTTGCTTGTGTGTTTTCCGTATAACTAGTACTCCCTTCGTCCCAAAATTCTTGCGTATCTAACACTAAAATGTAAGAGCATCTCCAACAGCCGCGCTTCGTGCCGCGCGCTAAAAACTAGTATGGCGCGCGCGCTTCGGCTGGTTTAGCGCGGCCGCCAGCGCTGGCTCCAGCAGCCGCGCTATAATGCAGTGTGCGCGCGCCGCTCCAGCAGTGCACAAAAATACAGCGCGCACGGCACGCACAAACCACATATACATTTCAAATAAAAGCAAAAATATTCAAACAAACAAAATAAATCAATAATAAATAGTTCAATTTCGTTATCATTACAACCCAAACAAATAGTTTATCGTTCAGTACAACAAATACTGCAATAGACACAACAAATAGTTCATGAACAATACAATATCGAATGCAGAAATCATCCTCTTTGTCGTCCATTCCTTGCTCACCACTCTTCAATCAGATCCTTCTGAAGTTCATTGTGTGTTGCGGGACGCTGAATGTCCTGATAGGAGGCAACAAAACGGGCTACCCTTTCAGCCCTCCGTCGCACTCGCACGGGATGTCCTAAGAGCTCATACTGTGAGTAGTCTAAATCTTGGCCACGTTCATTCTCAATGATCATGTTGTGCATGATCACACAAGCGTGCATGATGTACCAAAGCATTTTTTGATCCCAAAATCTAGCTGGTCCTATCACAATAGCAAATTGGGCTTGCAAAATCCCAAATGCTCTCTCCACATCTTTTCTAGCCACCGCCTGAGCATTGTGGAAATCAAGATTTTTCTTACCTTCCGGCTTTTTCAACGACTTCACGAAGGTTTGCCACTTTGGATAGATGCCATCCGCTAGATAATAGCCATAGTTGTACGTACGGCCATTTGCTACAAACTGCACCGGTGGCAACTCACCACTTGCAATCTTATTCATCAGTGGTAACCGGTTGAAAACATTGATGTCATTCAAAAATCTAGGCATTCCAAAGAATGCATGCCAAATCCAAGTTTCCTGATCGGCCACCGCTTTAAGTATTATAGTGGATCCCTTTTTTTGGCCGTGGAATTGCCCATGCCATGTCTTTGGACAATTCTTCCAACTCCAATGCATGTAATCTATTGAGCCAATCATGCCAGGAAAGCCACGAGCTTTGTTCATCGCCAATAGCCTTGCGACGTCTTCAACATTAGGAGATCTTAAATACTCCTCGCCAAACACTTGCACAATTCCCACTGCAAAGCGCTTGACACACATGATGGCTTGACTCTCACCCATAGCCAAGTGATCATCAACTAGATCAGCCGGGATACCGTATGCCAACATACGCAAAGCGGCTGTCACCTTCAGAAAGGTGCTATGCCCGAGATCTCCGGCGGCATTCCTCCTTTGCTGAAAAACCGGTCATGGCTCGCTAGTTTTTCTGCAATGCGCCTGAACAAGTCGGTGCTCATCCTAAATCGGCGACGAAAATACGACTCTGGGTATGTGGAATTCTCCACGAAATAGTTCATCATCAATCAGTTATGAGCATTAATCCTATCTCTCCAAATTTTCTCCCAACCCATAACCGAACCACCGTGCTTCGGTTTTTTATTGATATGCATAGCTAGGATCATTGCAAGATCCTCCTCCTCTTCCATATCAAATTCTTCTTCGGAAGAATCATACGACGAACTCATCTACAATGTTCAATACTATACTATAAAAACTACAATTAAAAACATGCACCAAATTCATGAAGTTTGAGCAATACATACCTTGTAGGCGTTTTGCCGAACACCTTGCGGGCGCGGGTGCGGCAGCGAGCGCTCGGGCGCTGTTCCTCGAACGACGGGCGCGCGTGAGGGCCAGCGGGACTAGGAGGGGGGCGTGTTGGAAATATGCCCTAGAGGCAATAATAAAAGTATTATTATTATATTTCCTTGTTCATGATAATTGTCTTTTATTCATGCTATAACTGTATTATCCGGAAATCGTAATACACGTGTGAATACATAGACCACAATATGTCCCTAGTGAGCCTCTAGTTGACTAGCTCGTTGTGATCAACAGATAGTCATGGTTTCCTGGCTATGGACATTGGATGTCGTTGATAACGGGATCACATCATTAGGAGAATGATGTGATGGACAAGACCCAATCCTAAGACTAGCACAAAAGATCGTGTAGTTCATTTGCTAGAGCTTTGCCAATGTCAAGTATCTCTTCCTTCGACCATGAGAGCGTGTAACTCCTGGATACCGTAGGAGTGCTTTGGGTGTATCAAACGTCACAACGTAACTGGGTGACTATAAAGGTGCACTACAGGTATCTCCGAAAGTATCTATTGTTTTATGCGGATCGAGACTGGGATTTGTCACTCCGTGTAAACGGAGAGGTATCTCTGGGCCCACTCGGTAGGACATCATCATATGCGCAATGTGACCAAGGAGTTGATCACGGGATGATGTGTTACGGAACGAGTAAAGTGACTTGCCGGTAACGAGATTGAACAAGGTATTGGATACCGACGATCGAATCTCGGGCAAGTAACATACCGATAGACAAAGGGAATTGAATACGGGATTGATTAAGTCCTTGACATCGTGGTTCATCTGATGAGATCATCGTGGAACATGTGGGAGCCATCACGGGTATCCAGATCCCGCTGTTGGTTATTGACCGGAGAACGTCTCGGTCATGTCTACATGTCTCCCGAACCCGTAGGGTCTACACACTTAAGGTTCGATGACGCTAGGGTTATAAAGGAAGTTTGTATGTGGTTACCGAATGTTGTTCAGAGTCCCGGATGAGATCCCGGACGTCACGAGGAGTTCCGGAATGGTCCGGAGGTAAAGATTTATATATGGGAAGTCCTATTTTGGCCACCGGAAAATGTTCGGGATTTTTCGGTATTGTACTGGGAAGGTTCTAGAAGGTTCCGGAGTGGGGCCCACCTGCATGGGGGGACCCACATGGACGTGGGTAGTGGGGGCAAGGCCCCACACCCCTGGTCAAGGCGCACCAAGATCCCCCCTTAGAAGGAATAAGATCATATCCCGAAGGGATAAGATCAAGATCCCTAAAAAGGGGGGATAACAATCGGTGGGGAAGGAAATAATGAGATTTCTTTCCTCCCACCTTGGCCAACGCCCCAATGGACTTGGAGGGCAAGAAACCAGCCCCTCCACCCCTATATATAGTGGGGAGGCGCATGGGAGCTATACACGAAGTTCTGGCACAGCCCTACCTCTCTCCCTACTCCTCCTCTCCCATGGTGCTTGGCGAAGCCCTGCTGGATTGCCACGCTCCTCCACCACCACCACGCCGTTGTGCTGCTGTTGGATGGAGTCTTCCTCAACCTCTCCCTCTCTCCTTGCTGGATCAAGGCGTGGGAGACGTCACCGGGCTGTACGTGTGTTGAACGCGGAGGTGCCGTCCGTTCGGCACTAGGATCATCGGTGATTTGAATCACGACGAGTACGACTCCATCAACCCTGTTCACTTGAACGCTTCCGCTTAGCGATCTACAAGGGTATGTAGATGCATTCTCTTTCTACTCGTTGCTGGTCTCTCCATAGATAGATCTTGGTGACACGTAGGAAAATTTTGAATTTCTGCTACGTTCCCCAACAGGGCGGAAGCGCGGCGGCCCAGGGATAGGCGGGGGAAGCGCCGGAACGGTCGCCGGGGGGCGCGGGCGGCGGCGGCGGCGCGGCCGGATGGGGGTGGAAGTGGGAGAGCAAGCGCACGAGAGTCCAGCGCCCAGGAGCGGGCGCAGCAAATAAGCGGCGCGCGATTGCGTTTCGGCCAGCACGCTGAACTGCATATGGCGCGCGCACAGTTTTTGCGCGCCCGCTGGAGCAGCTATACCGGTTGCGCGCGCGCTAAAACGCCCACTTTTGCGGCGCGGCGCTAGTTTGGCGCGGCTGTTGGAGATGCTCTAAATAGATACATTCGTATTTAGACAAATCTAAGACATGAATGTTGGGATGGAGGGAGTATGTACTTACGAGTTAACACTGAATGGTATTATCAAATAAAACAGAAGAACTAAACCTTTATTATAACAAACAGAAAGTGAAAAGGCGATAACTTACATCGGCAAACGATTTTGGAACTCGATGCTATCACTAGTGAGAGGTTACAACTCATACTTCTCAATGGAGAACTGAGTGGCAGGTGATAACTTGCAACGACAGACAGTTTTGGACCTAGATACTATACCTTGTTGATGGAAAAATAAATAGCAGGCAAGGAGCACATTAAACTGTGTCATACTCATAACCATTAACCAATGACCCTCAAGGATGAAGACATGATAAGAAAAGTATGGTAATGCAGGGACTTGATGGCGAGATAACAGATCAGAGATAAAGGAAGGTATTACAGGATTGAATGTTGCTTAATAAATATCCTAGGCACCAAGCAGATTTTACTCCCACAAATGTGGAATTGTTGCAGGGTATGCAGAAACAACAAAAACAACTGTTCAAGAATGCATACATACAGATAGATAGATAGATAGATAGATAAAAGACAGAATCTATCACCAGCATATATACAGATCATATTTCTAGTTCTTGATTACATAGTTGAAACTATATCAATCCAATCAATACCAATTACTAGTTTACTACTACTAAATGCTAATGTTGGTCTATTCAACAAAGTTCAAGGGAAGGGTCTGAAGCTTGGGTCATGTGGTGAGCATATACAGTATAATAGGATAGCAAAATCACGGAGAATGGAATGGATTCAGTTGAGTATATCCATCCATCAAACAAATTCAATCAATCCAAGCATGCAGCACAGTAGGGAGAGGGTGTGGAGAGAATGAGATACCGGTTGTCGTAACGACTGGGGGCGGGCTTGAGGTTGCTGGTATCCTGGACGACGCGGTTGCGGAGTCTGTACGAGATGCGATGCCACTCAGTCTTGGGCGGAGGAGCCGGGGCCTTCACGCGGCGCGCGGGAGGAGGAGCCATGGTCACATCCTCCGAATCCCTATGGTGCGAAGATGGTCGCGCAACCCTCGCAGCTCGACGCTTGGGCGGAGGAGCCGGGGTCTCGGCGCGGCGTGCTGGAGGAGGAGGAGGAGGAGGCGACGCGACCGCACCCTCCGCGTCCGAGTCCAGGGGGCGGGGTGGTCGCGCAAACCTCGGAGACTCGCGCTTGCGCAGAGGAACGTGGCCCTCGGCGCGCCTGGCCCGGCGTGCCGGAGGCTCCGCCGCCTTCGCCTCCGGCCTGGACCGCTTGGATCTCCGGGGTTCGCTGGTGGCGCGCTCGTCATGGAGGCCGGTCATCTCGGCGACTCCGGCGGTGGTACGGGATGGAGCGAACAACGATTGAGAGGGGGTCCGGAGCGCCTACGCCTCGCTTGTACCGAGACCGAAGAAGGGTCTCGCTGAAGGAGCGCCCTCGCAGCCGCGAAGTAATGTGCAGGCCCAACTTTCAGGTGAGTACTTAACGGTTCCTCCCAACCGCCCGAGAGAGAAAAGGGCTCTGCGCGACGACGGTTTCCTTGCAGAACGCCGGTGAAGCCACGGCCTCCGCCCCCTCTGTCCGCTGCTCCGGCGGCAGATGGAGGGGGAGGATCCCGTTCCTCTTCCATGGTGTTCTGTAGATAGGTTCTATGTTTCTTTTGGTGGCGCTGGAGCGAGGACAACGGGGCTGCGTCGAATAAATCTGCTTCGCCTTATTCCTCTCCATGACGACGATCTTTATGACGACATCGAGAAGCCAGTAGCCTTTGCCGGTTATTTTCAGACGGTGAGATCTATTGTTCATTGTCTTGTTAGTCGCTTCCGTCTCTCGCAGTGGTGCAATTGGTCAGGACAACATGATGATCCAGAAACGGGTTTTGTGGTCCAACGACAGCGGTTCCAACGTTCTTCCCCGACTTCATCGGTGGGAATCGATGGATCCCGGTCTAGGCCAGCATGGGATATTCCCCAACCGACAATGCCACATCGACAAGTGCCTTGCTGCATGCAGCGAGTCTGTTCATCGATTTTGAAAGCCATTTTGGCGATGATGCTGCTCTGGATCTTGAGATGTTGGAGGCTATGTTTCTCTTCTAGTGAGCGATTTGGTGACACTGGAATGTGGAGGCCGCTGTGGGTTTCGATGTGTGCAGAGATCTCTTGGAAACCTTTTGTAAATTTTATTTTCTTGGGATCCTTGCTGCATAATTTTTGGGACATATGTCTTCGTCCAATTTGTCTAGCAGTCTCCACGTGTGTTTGTACTAATTGTACTATGTATATGTTATAAAAAAACCTTTCAGGTTAGTTCCTGTTTTTTACGTTTCTTCATTCTTTTATTTTTTGTCTACTTTTTCTAATATATTTTAAATTAATATATTCCAAAACTTAATTTAGGTAAAAAATCCGAATCCAGAGAATATGAACACAGTGTAAATGTTTTGTTAGCATAAGTTGAAAAATGTTGATAGCTTTCAAAAGATGTTTGTGCCATTTAAAACTATTCACACATTTAAAAAACATACACATGGAAATTTTCAAAAAAAAATATACAATGTACAAAATGTACATGTAACTCAAAAAATGTTAGTCATGTATTTCAAAATGTGAAACATGTATATAGAAAATTTTAGTCATGAATCTGTACAACCGAGAAAACCCAATTAACGAAAAGGAAAGAAAGAAACAATAAAACCGATAAAGAAACAAAAAGAACTAATGAAAGGAAGAAAAAACCAGTGGAAACTGAGTAAAAACAGAGAAAACCGCCAAAAAGTAAACTAAAACAAATAAAATATGAAAACCATGAAAAAACAAAGAAAACCGATAAGAACTGTGAAAGAAATGAAGAAAACGTTGAAAAAAATGTATAAAGAAACACAAAGAAACGAAAAAACAAAAAATACCAGGAAACCAACTCAGTAAACAACCACAACGAACACAATTGAAATCCAACGAATGAAAAGAAATCCAGAAAATATAGGCCGGCACAGTAGCTACAGGTAGGAGCTCCTCGAGGGAACCTTCAGGCGAGAATTCCTTCAATCTCGCTTTGAACCGGATATAGCTCTCGCAGCTTTCTTTAGCAACCTTTAGCTCACGGTAGGGCGTGTTGGGCTTAATATTTGCGGCGTGCGCTCGGTGGTTAGAAGGACTGTGGTATCCTCATTTCACCAGGGTTCAAATCCTGGTGCTCGCATTTATTTCTGAATTTATTTTAGGATTTCCGGCGATGCGCATTCAGTGGGAGGAGACGTTTTCGTCGGATGTGCTCATAAGGGTAGGGTGTGCGTGTGTGCGTTCATAGGGGTGAGTGTATGCGCGTGTATATGAGCGCTTGTGTCTGTACTGATATTAAAGAAAACATATTAAAAACGCTCATGACTCAAAAAAAAGTGTTTGCCTGTTTAGCATTTGCGGCCTGCACCATTCACCCAATTTATTTTCTCGAATACGCACGAGTGTGCATACATTATATCAAAGGAGAGGGAGGGGGAAAGAACCCCTCCACGTTGGGTTTACATATATATATATACAACCAACTCCACGCGTTCCAAATTACATGATGCTAACTTCTCGCGTCACTACCCACTCTTAGAGCTTCAAGAAAGCTCTCCATGTCCGCCTTGGTAATGCCCTTTGACTTCCATGATCTACTCTCCGACCTCAATTCTACGGAGTACACTTCCCATCGATGGTGTTGATCCATCGAACACGACCGCGTTGCGATGCTTCCATAGCTCCCACATCACTAGTAGGATTAGGGCACGGACATCTTTCCCTTCTCCGTCGGTTCCACCCTTAATTGTGCACACCATTCTATAAGCCTTGTAGCCCGTGTTGGGATCAATTCTTGTTTGTTCAATGACATGCAGGCTCGGGTCCATACGTCCCTCACAAGGACACATTGGACGAGGATGTGGTGAATGCTTTCCTCCACTTGGTCGCGGAGCAGGAAGGCTTCTTGGTGGTCTAGTCCACGTCGTGCTAGTCTGTCTGAGGTCCAACATCTGTTTCGCAGGGCAAGCCATGCAAAGAACCTGCATCTCAGCGGCGCCCTTGACTTCCAAGTGAACTTTGCCGCCGGTGCGATCTTACGGCCCCAAAACCTTGTGTTGTATGTTGATTGCGTTGAGAAAGTTCCATTTGCCTCACATGCCCAGTGCACCGAGTCATCTTTGTCTTGGTCGAGTTGTATTGTCTCCATCCGCTCCCACAGTAGCAGGTATTCCTAAAGCATTTGTGATGAGAGCTGTGGTGGAATTGTCACGGCAGATGTCCTAGTGTGAGGACTTAGTCGTGAGGCCAACGCATCTATGTGGTAGCTTGAGAGGGGTTGGGCGGAATCGAGAGACGCAACACACAAGACGAAGATTTAGACAGCTTCGGGCCCCGGGAAACATCATCCGGTAATAGCCCTACATGCTGTTTGAGGCTAGGTCTCATTATGCTCATGAGGGAGTCGCCGCATAAGCCGGCTCCCCCTTTGTGTCTAGCCCTAGATATTGTTTCTTGCTGCTTGCCCCTCTTGGGGAGCCCTGCCCCTCCTTATATAAGTTAGAGGGGCGGCTTACATGTAGAGTCCTATTAGGATTAGAACTAACTTATTCTCTATTCCAAGTCGGATACAAGTACGGGTTTTGCTTCCCCGTAAAGGAAATATTCCTCATGCCTTCTGTCTTAAGCCGGCCCACCCTAATATGAGCCGGCCTACTGGGCCTTGGGCCTAGTCTTCTATGTGACCCGCTGTCGGGGTCATCCGTGAGTCGTCTGACCAGTGAGCCGCCAGACCCGTGAGTCGCCAGTCCTCCGGCGGGTCATCGGTGAAGCGCCAAGTCCGGTCGGGTCATACTTCCGGCCGGGTCATACTGCGGGGTATATCCCCGACAAGAGCTCTGGTCCAATTTCCATGGCCCAAACGCCATTCATCATTCTTTGGGAAACCATTCTAGTGGCTCGCGTGGCTTGCCTCACATGGCCATAGAGGCTAGGCGCTAACTCCTCCATCCTGTGGCCCTGAACCCATCTGTCCTCCCAGAAGAGAGTTGTGTTTCCGTTGCCCACGGTCGAGTGGATGGCTGTTCTGAATAGGTCCATGGATTCTTTGGGTACCTGTATTTGTATGTCAAACTCACTCTAGGGCCTCGAGGGGTCCGACCGCTTGAGTCACGGACATCGCGCCTGCGTGGCAACATTTAGCCGTTGTAGATTTGGAAGGCCTAGTCCACCTGCCCATCTTGGCGTGCAAACCTCTACCTAGGCCACTGCACACTGTCCACCGCTCGCCTGAGCTTTTCCACTCCATAAGAAGCCTCTACATATCTTGACCATTGCTGCAATTGTCTTGTTTGGGATGTCCAGTGCCATCATCACGTGAATTCGTATTGCACATAACACTGACTTAACAAGAACATTCTTCCGCTTTTCGGCATATTGGCGGCCTTCCAACTTGGTAAACAGGTTGCCAATTGATCTACCAGCCTTGATAATTGCGTCGCCATTTGTTTTCTCACAGTGAGGGGAAGGCCCATGTATTTGCACGGGAAAGTACCGATTGGGCATCCCAGGATTTGGGTGACCCGCTTCATCTATCGCGCGTTGCATGTAATCAGTAGCGCTGCGCATTTGGCGAGATTGACCCGCAAACCAGAGGCATCCCTAAAGAGCTGTAGGATGGAAACACATGCATGTAGGTCCACTGTCGTCGATTTTAGGAAGACCATAACATCATCTGTGAACATTGATACCCTTTACGCCATCCCTCTCTGTGCAAGCAGTGAAAGTATGCCTCTCTGAGCTGCCAATTGGAACATTCTCTGTAGCGGCTCCATGATTGTTTTTGAACCGGGCATTGCCCCTTTCCATTACTGTGACATAACGAAAATACAACCATGTCCAGAGAATGAAACGGGAAAGAGGAAAGCGGGTTCAAGCATCGCCAGGAAACCCACCATGAGCACTCGCCATCGAGATTAGTCACTATGGGACGAAAACCCGACGACACCATAAATCCATGACCCAAAAGAGAAAAATCATTGTCTAAAGCCAGATCACTAAGAAACACTGCTCAGAACAGAGCAGCATGGCTCAATCATCCTCATGCAGGAGGTATCTATCCAAAATATCGAAGGCTTTACGCATCAAGCCCTCTCCCTTCAGTAGGCTCCCTCGTCCTGGTATGCCGTAGCGCAGATCCTCATCAGACGAGACGCATTGTCCTTCAGTAGATCTCCTCCAGATCTTAGGGCCGCCGCATCCTCCTGCTTCATCATACCTGCCCAGTAACAAAGAAGAGCACATGCAGAGAAGATGCATTCAAA